CCACGAACCTGTAGAGCGCAACAGTATTAAAATGTCTGGTACTTCTTTTTAACGCTACAAGCAACCTCTTGAAAGAACTTCCTGATCGACAGGTTTTATTTGCTGTCAAGCCGTAGCGATACTGTAATCACAAATAGCGCTTTCCGGGTTGAACCCTAATAGGTTAGCCGTGAAGCCTGGAAACATTGATATAGATCATCTTGCATTTCATTTCCAGCGGATGAGCGGCCTGGTTGCATAACATTATCACCGCTTTTCTGATATTTAATGTGAGACAGTTTTACTTCGAAATTTCTCTACGAAAGCATCCAGCCTCTATCTGGTAACAGCTTTAATATGTATTGCGCATTCCAATAATCCAATTAAATTTCAATCTGTGATTTCGAGGCTAGACCAACATCTCCTCCGCTAAACACCATATCATCTAGAGTGGTAAGAAACACAAAAGTCGAGAAATATTATTATTGCTCGATAAACAATAATCTGTATTTTATCAATTGGTAAAATAAGAGGCTCAAGCAGCAACCTATACTTCATCAATTGCTCAAATTCGCTTTTGTTTGCAGCTGATTTCAATTAACGGTTCAGTACATTTACGGGAAATGATCTTTTCACTCTTTCTAGCTACCGTTAATAACTCTTGTTGGCCAAAGGAAATCTACCCGGGTGTTTACATATTATGTCATTAAGGCTATCATTCGCACAGCTCAGACATTGCTGCCGACGGTTGCTATTGCTTGGAAATGTAGGTCCTTTCTTTGTTGTACCCCAGAGACCAACTGCACGTAATACCAGCACTAATTAGATTAGACATCCGTCTTTATCCGAAAACGAATATTGGTTGCGATCGCAGATATCTTTAATTTGCCGCATATTGTCGTATAAGTGCAGGGCTGGCGCCAGAGCTGGTGTAAGCTGTGCAATGGGACTGGGGGAGAGCAGAATTTAGGGACGGCAGAACTTTTAGAATTTAGGAAGGAATCTGGCGGCAAGATTTAGAATATTTAGGAATTGCAGAGTTTGTACCGGGCGGCAAAATGTTTAGCTCCGGCCCTGTGTAAGGGATGGGTTAAGTTTGAAATAATAATGGAATTGAGATATGAAGTTGATTAGAATTCGTTTATTAAAACGCAAATGAAGACTATATACGAATCGACAGCATGCTTTTATTCTGATAACAAAACGAACTACAAACTACTATTGCCACACATACCCAAGTAAATATTTCTTTTTTTTGAGGGTTTGTCGTGTTACAAAATCCTAACATGAGCCTTAAATTCGGGTACGCTCAAAGTGAAATTTAGACAGCCGCATTTGCCAACATAAATTTTAGTTTGGAGTGTCTTCCTCCGAGCTGTCATCATCTTCGTTGATTACCTTATCTCTCTTGGAGTAAGGACGAAGATATTGCACGTGGCCAATTTTCAAAACCTTGTTCTTCCGTGTCGTAGGCTTGATCTCGTAGCATACGACCCCGACTGGACGAGCAGTAACAAACGGTCCCTTAAATTTCGAAGAGAGTTTATAATTTCCCTGTTTTGGGGCAGTCGTATAATATGAGATCTATTTTGAACGAATGAGATCTGCTATAGACAACAAATCCGCGTTTGTTCGCCAAATGTGTTTCATACACATAATACGTCTTCGGTCCTGGCCAAAATCAATTTGATCTTGGTATGGTGTGTCATCTATGAAGCTCCCATTATGCATTAGAAATGCATTTCTATTGGGTGTTCTGATGTAACTATTTGCGTGAATTAGGTAGTATAATTGTGCCATTTCGTGGATCTAAACCAGGGTTTTACATGGAATAGTTTATTATATACTATATTGTGGAAAGCAAGGTTATTTTCCTTATGCAATCAAGTTGCATTTATGTAAATCTTCATTCATTTATACGTGTTATTGATTGGTAATGTTACCAATCCAAATGATCCGTCGTGATTTAAACCAGTAGTCTCAAACCCGCGGTTCCCGAAGCCATTTTATGCGGGCCAAGGATACATTTTTGTATGTAATTATACAAAATACGGTGTTTATAGATTTAGAGATTAAGATATGGACTGAGCTTATCTGCACGACTTCTGTTGAAAGAAAAAAAGTAAAAGAACCTGGGGCTTTGTCTCTGTATATCTGGACGACAGGCCAAGTACTAAAGTAAAGTGGGAGAATTTTCCACCTTGATTACAGTCCGTAAATTTAGTTTGCCACCTGGCAAGTTAAGCGCTTCAGTATCTGGTGCTTCCGGTTTAGGTTAAAAATCAGTTATTTAATAGTTGATTTAACTGACTGGAATTACCTGAATTACTTTTCAGTGTAAAAATTTGGTATTTAAATGTCAAAATTTAGTATTAACTGTGATATGGTTGCGAATTTTGTACATATGTGAATAGTTTTAGGGTAATTATATGTGAAACTGTAGTTATTTTTTTGTATAATGCAACATGAAATTCTTGAGAGACAAAGCACTGTTCGAAAAATAAGCTTACAGGCGGAACTCTATTTAAAATTGAAGTAATGGCTGTGTTCCGGTTTGAATAGAAACTTTTCTGCCTCTGAATGGCAACAGTTTGTACTCGAGAACTTAATTTTTGTTTTTTTTGACACAGTCTCTATGCTGGCGATAATATGTTAGATTACAGAATTTATGATATTCAATTAAAGTCGTTTTTAAAACTAGAATGGGTATTTTGAGTATAGAATTATCACTGAACCGCTACTTATTGAATTTTAGATGCTGCTTGTCTTAAATAGAATTATTGTAGAACTTCGGGAAATACGCACAACATTGTATCTATTTGTTGTCTTTGCCCACCAGCGGCCGAGCGGTAAAGTCGCTGAACACTGGTAGTTCGGTCCGAGGTTCGAATCCCGCGAACGGGATGGCTGCATGGGCGTTTTCGTGGTTTTCCCCATGTGTAACGTGTATACGAGCCAGTTTCCCTAAGAAAGTCTTCCACGAAGGCATCCTTCCCCTTAGGCAGATAGCCCTCGTGTGCTTTGCTATAACTCAACACACACACCAACGTATCTATTTATTTGTCTAGCGAACAGGCTAGTTGGCTAAATTGGCGAGATATCGCCAAGCTGGTGATGGTTTTGAAGACCTAGTTTGTGTCGCCAAACTTGGCGGCCATATGACGACATTTTGTTCCGGCCCCTTTATAACTGTAATTGGTACTGTAATTCATCCCTGTATGTAACTATAACCGTATCCGGCCCTTATGTGTAACTTTAACTGTTTATACTTTCCTATAATTTCGAGGCCTGATACTGAGAAAAGCCGTACAAGTATTTTTGTGGAATGTTCCAGAGCTATGAAGTGTTTCTTTCGGTAAAATAAAATTTATCAAGCTATTATTAGTTCTATGGCCGTTCAATGTGTTACGAACTCGTACGCACGCAAGAATATATTTGATAGTAAAAGCAGAAGAGCTAGGAAGCGAAAAGAAAGGATTGCCTTATTTTAGACCAATTGAGCTGTAGTTTCTGTAGTTGCCTAAGCCTATGATAAAATTTAGATTTTGTCTGCTGTTCTGATTTGAAAAACGAGAAACATGGCATGTGTGCTTTAGTACGATGCATTGGCTCTCACACTCTCCTAAGAGTTTTTTGTGCAATCAACTTTTATTGAATCGTATTTGGAAAGTCTTCCACGAAATCATCCCTTCCCTTAGGCAGGTAACCCTTGCGTGCTTTATCATTATCAAATAAACCAAACCAAACCTTCTTGCATTAGTATCAAGATGAAATAAAATGCAGACCAGCTATTCTATGGACTAGATGGCACATTCAGATTTTCAATGTTTTGGAAGCGAACATTAAAATTTTGTTTCAGTTTTTCAGGCGGCTCATAAATAATAATATAGTATATCTTTTGAGGCAGTTTTGTGGGGCTTTTGTTGTTGTGTGTGTGTTCCTTCCTTTTACCTTTTTATATTACATTTTTGTATAAAAAGTTTATATATTTTAAAGAAAATATTATTGCTCTTTAATATATATTAAATAATGTTTGAGTATTTTTCCCTTGTATTTATGCTTTTACTATTTCTTCGTTATTACGATACAGCTTTATTTCAACAAACAATTACCAATTTTACAGTGTTAATTTTTTGTTAATGGGATCCTCATTGTGCTCATCAATTGCCCGTGCATATTCGGCTGTCATTGATATCTTTAAAATTTCATCGACCCCTAAGGTGTTGGTAATGACCCCTTTGGGAACCCCTGCTTTAGCGAACACTGAATGATGTTCGCTTTTTTTGTGTTCTCATAAAAGCGAAAATTATCTTCGGACTTTTTTCGTAAGCTTGATAAAAGCGAAGGTATTATTTCGTCAGTAGAATCATCGCAATTAATCGGATATTTAATTGCCAACCTACCTTCTATAACACCCCTAAAGTGAATTCATGCCTGAAGTGACAATCTAACTTTCCGCCTTCCTGAGTGCTGGAATTGGAAAATTTCGTCAGGTATGCGCTCAACATTTTAAACATCTTCATGCACTAATGTGTTTTCATAGCAAGAGAGTGACAATACATTAAATCACTTTATCAAAAGGTATAAAAAAAGCTTCCTTATTTATGTCTAGTATGTGATTAGAAAATTTATTGATTTGTTGGAACACGCGTCACGTCTTTGCAAGGTTTTCTGATGATCAAGATGTTAACCTTGGTTTAACGTACAGAATGAACATTTTAAAGTTCATTAGCGGTGTTTACGTTGTATGAGCTCCAAACGCATCTGTTGCTCTTCAGGTAGCTTTTTACCTTTATCTCGTTAAGTAAATAGTTGTTCGCTCATCGCGTCGTGTGTGACGTCACACAACCCATGCGAGGTCCGGGTCGGTATGTGGCGTTGCGTAATCGCTTTCATTGCGTACTACGTTGGTATTGATGATCTCTGTGAAGTGGTTTGAAGTTGAGATAATTCATTATATTTTTATGTTGTGCTTTATCGGTTTCAGTGCGATTTGGGAATCGCTCGTGGTAATCATTGGTTTTTCTGACGAGGAGTTGCTTTAACATAAGTGAATGTTGATCCAGAAACTTATAACTTATTCTGGTACTATTCGTTATACATCTGAGAGTTATTTTTGTGAAATCTCCCTTGGGCATTAACTGGATATTTTGCAAGAATTTTAGAGGTATTTGGTAAGCCCCGTTAAAAATGATAAATTTGTGTATTTGCCTAACGTTTTTTTTTTCTACATATAGTTATGAAAATATGTATTTGCACCACAGATTTTGGTTAAACATTCGATTGTATGTAAGATCATACAGAAAATTTCTTTTGTGTAACGGGGGACAGTTGCCAGCGGAAAGTTTTGTTAATTTGTGTGTTGGGATTATATGATGAGGAAGTGAAGAACTTACGAGCATTCATCAGTTTCGCGCATATTAATTCCTAATCACCAATAAATTTTGACTGTTACTATTATATTAAGAATCGATAATTCCTTTAGTTTGTCTTGGAATTATAGTATATATTAAAGTACGTTAATATTCTGTATGTGAAAAAGACTTCATTGAAATACAATTCTGTTTTATTTCACTAAGTAGAAGTAACAAGTAAAAGTGTAACAAGTAAAAGTAAAAGGCCACCAGAGACTTCACCACAAAATCGAGCAGGTATTTCTCGAGTACACTAACCAGCTAGAGCAAGGATCCCCAGCCTTTTTGTCCCTAAGAACACGTTCTAGGATATCTGTTGGACGGCGGGCACCATTTACTTTTTCAAGGTGAATTTATAGTTAGCACATAAAAAAAAAAAAAAAAAAAAGAGATCGTTTGAATTTCGCTTTGTACTGGTATCTGTGTTGGACGCAATTTCTGTTTCATTAAAAATGAGAAAACTTTCACGTAAAATTTTATTGCAAACTAAAACATATTTATTGTGATCGCACAGCAGCGGATACTATAGTGCCCGCAGACATAGGGTTGGGAACCCCTGAGCTAGAGCATGACAGTTGCGTAAGGTGGGGGTGGATATAGCATGAGACTATATCGCACGTGAATTTAAATTTTAAAATTCCATAGCTTTATTCACTTAAAACTGGCAGGTCATTATTCTTTCATATATTCTCCAAAAATTACATATCCAATAATGATTTAAATTAAGATAAGGTTAAATTTAAGCTTTTGACGTCATAACTATTCTAACAAAGAAGACAGATGGGAAGAGCGGCAGCAAGAGGGTTTTTACAGCGGCAGGCGGAGAAAAGCAATCTGACGAAAAATGGCGCGAACTCTTCTTCATTTATAGCAGCGATTATGTAGCATGCCAGAATGTTCTCGAAAGCACTGCTCTAGAGCAAGATCCTGAAATTGCGCAAAGGTTGCTTGTTTGCGTAGAGCAAAGCCATCGTATTATTTATATTTTACATCTCGCCCCCCAAAACGAGAGGCCGGGGGAGCAAAGCATTAGTACATTACTAAAGCAAGAAAAATTTTAAAGTATGAGGGAAGACATGAAGAAACATGTAAGATAAAAATATGTTAATCAAAACTATAATTTAAACTAACGGTAAAACTTTTAATTCTCCCTATCTGTTCTAAAAATCGTAATAACTTCTCTGGATTGCGTCATTTCTAAATCATCCAGCTCATGGACCTTATAAGAAATAGACTAACCCAGTGGGCGGGGCGTGCGTCACCGACATTTCGGCAAGAAAGAGTAGGGACGATCTGGTTTACTTTAACATTGAAACCCATGGCGTTTGTATCACATAACTCTTTTTAATTATTAAATGTGATACGTTGTATAGTGAAGAGATTATGAAAGCCACAGTTTTTTCCAAATAGGATTTAATATATCTCATTAAAGCACTTTTTACTGCATTTCGCGCATTTTTTTCACGCGTAATTCTTGTACAAACATCTTTACTAATTTATACATAACAAACATCTTTATAATATCTTTATAATTTTCAGGCGGTGATTCTCCAAACAATAATAACATTACAAAACGATCATATTTATTTGATTATAGGATCATTAAATTATTAACATTAAAGTGGATTAGTTATTTTAATAATTCATAAAATTCGGAGCATAAAATTTTCTAAGCGTAATGAAGGGGAAAAAAAGATAAAATAAAATCTAGAAGCACTCAAATTTTATATTACGCCCAAAAGGAACCTTTTCTTTAAAGTTTTGTGTGTTACCTACTATATTTATTGAATATCATTTTTTTCGCCCGTAAACCACACAAATACAATTCAACAGCAACATGAAAACATTTGCAACATCTTTAGAATTTTCGCGCACTGGAGATAAAATGTTATTTTCCGTATAGTGTTGCCATTCATCGTTTTGAACTCGTTGAGTTTGTTAATCAAAAATTCATTAAAGTTTTACAGAAATATGAAATAGGATTAAAACAAATTCGAAATTTGGCCGTCCAGATGCCCATGTTCGGTTGGAGAATTACATTATTCAAAATTTGAATGGCCCTAGATCCGTCATTTTGTTTACAGTGCAAGAAACATACATGTATTCATGCTGATTATGTATGTATTCATGCTTATTCATTATTTAATTTCTTTACAATATAATACAAGGCGATAATATTTGGTAACAACAATTTGCAAGGAGACACGGACACTTATAGTAAAAACGCGCAAAATGCAGCTTTGAAACTAACAGCCTTTCTAGGCGACCGCCGCTTTGCGTTAATAAATTAAATTAACAGTAAATAAAAAAAATCTTATGCAGAACTAAAAATAAATTAAAAAAAAATAGTCACTATAAAGTACAAGCAAAATTAATTATAACGGTTAAATACAATTTTAATATTGGAATTAAATGTATAAAATTTTTAAGGGGTCAGAAGTGTTTATCACTATGTATTATGAAAGATAATTGAATAATACTCATCTATAATTTTAAAAAAGCAGCACAATTTAAAATTTTAAACAAAACTTTCAAAAATTCGTTTTTAAATATTTTAGTACTTTTTACTTATTTACACCAATAAAAAGCATAAAAATTGCAAGAGAAAATTGCTTGTTTGAAATTTTCTATTAGTTCAGATTTAAAATATTATTTTCTAAAAGAAGTAGTTACAAATTTCCTTACAGCATAGGAAAAGCTAAAAAATATCCAGCCCTGAAAGCATGCAATAGCTTTATAATTATTTGAAACGTTAATTATGCTTGATAAATATGCTAAAGTTTTAAAAATCAATCTCAATTTCAAAAATAAAAATATATAGAAATTCTAATTTGTGAAATGAGGCGCTACATTCAGCTTTTTCTTGATAATTATACGCGCTGCAATAGGCAACCAATGTTAAATTTCTGCAAGTCGTCCCTACTCCTCCGGATGTGATCAAGGTGACAGCCGGCAACGCGTCAGACAAGGGAGAAAACCCGTTTGGGTTAGTCTATTTCTTATAAGGTCCATGATCTAGCTCTGATGACGTAATAATTGGGAACCAAAATCTTTCTCTTCGTGTGCTTCCATCTTGAATAACTACGCACTTCAGCTTCGCAATCTGCCCTGCTAGGATGTAATTTCGCTGTCTTGCTTGCTATCTCAATAATATCAAAAATGTAAATGGTTTTGAATGGGCACAGAGTTCCAAGCGAAGTATGGCCACATATGTCAATTTGATATAAAAATGGAATTAAAACTGCTAAGTTTTTTATGTATTACGAAGTCAACATATTAACATACTACGCAATCAGAATTCTTCCTCTTCAATATGGATCTAAGTACGCATCAACACAATGTTTCGACTTTTCCTTGCTTTTATTATTCCATATATATATATTAAAGTATTTTAAAAAATTAGTCGGAGTATATGCGTAAAAAGGAAACTCATTGAAGTGAGGCAGTCTTTGAATCAGTCATTGAAATTGAATCAGTCATTGAAAGGAAGGATTTGTTATTTTCTTAATTGCTTATCGAGATTGAATCTATAGACTTTACCACGAACACCCTTATATTAGTACAATCTGAAATTTACCATACATTTTCGGTTCAGGCGCCATGCGATGCCAACGCTCTCTTGGGAACCCGCGATGATTTCGCTATCCCAGTGTAACATGACATTTAAAGATTTTCGAACACATGCGAGTTCATAATTCTCTTGTGGCTCGGTGCAGTCCATAGGAAATATAGAGAAAAGGAGTAAAATCATGTTAAGGTAGAAAATTGAGTCCAAGTCATAGTCCATCAAGCGATATTTGTGAACACGAAAAATGCTCAGCGCAAATCGACAACTGCTGTAGCAAGTTTAAATTAGGCAGAAGGCACTGTGAGGCGTTGAGTAATGTGCGAATCAACAGATAAGCAGGTTTACAAAAATATGCCAGTTATAGTCTGTCATAATAATAGCAGTAAAGAAGAGAAAGCAATTGGAAAAGAACATAAGAGTTACAACAAGGTAAGAGTGGGCCTAATTGACATTAGGAACATAGATTAACTAAATGTACAGTACAAAAATTATACAATACAATACAAAGTAAAAATTAAGTAAGTAAGGGCAAAGTCAAGTAAGTAAGCAAAAATTAAGACCCAGCCCTTGACCTTTTTCTATTTAGATTAGCAGAAACATCATAGTTGAGAACCAGGAATAGCACTGTTGTTGACATCCGGGATTTTCCGGAAGAATTTTTCTGCCATTTTGGCAATATATACATGAATTTCTGGGATGTTTAACTCGCGGTGAATGGCCGTGTTTCTTACGAACCAACGCCAGTTCACCATTTCTCTCAAGATCACATTCTGTATAGTTTGCAGCTTTTGCATGGTGTTATTACAAACATAGTCACACACGGGGCAGGCGTAGGTGAGAATTGGTCGCATCATGGTTTGGTAAATGAGTAACTTGTTGTCAGTCGAAAGAACGCTGTTCCGAGCAATTAAGGGGCGAGCGTAAGTTTACGTCCTCGGAACTTGTTTATAATATTTGTAACGTGTGGGAACCATGTGAGCAAGTAATTAAGTGTAACGCCTAGGTAGTGGACTTGCTTTACCCAGTGGATTGGGGTGCCCTACATTAAAACATGCATGTTCGGATCAAGTTTCCTCTTTTTTGTGAATAATATGGCATTAGATTTGGAAACATTAATTTGAATCTTCCAGGAGTTTAGCTAGCACTCCAGTGCATGGATGTGATTTTATAATGCCTGTATAACTGGACCTTG